AAAAAATGCACATTAGTAAGCAAAAAACCCCACCAACAAAATAACAAATAAAAACGATAAAAACAAAGGCAACACACAAGAAACACACCCCGAAATAGAACGTTAAAATATTTTATGCATAAAAATTACCAAACACATAATACTAAAATTAAAAACGAAAAAAAAAAAACAGCCAGTGAATAGTATTGACAGGAAAAAATTGTACACTGCAAAGAACATGTAATAGGTATTGCAAAAGACTACAATTAGAATAACCTAGGTGGGTAAAAACACACAAGCCACCCATGCAAAACATGAGCGAAGTTAAACCAACAAAAGAAACAAATGTAAATTAGCTATAAGTTTAAAAACAAAACAAAAAGCCAATGAATATGATGGAAAAAAGAAATTGATAATTGCAACAACCAAATAATAGATACTGCACAAGATCGAAATGACAAAAACTACCAAAAAAAAAAAAAAAAAAACCAACACTACCAAAAAAAAAAAAAAAGAAGAACACACACAGTTTACTTATATGAAAACCACTATTCCAACGAACACAAACAACAACTGATATAGATAAATTAAAAACACATACACAACACCAAAAGATAATAACTATAACGCATATGTTAACAAAAACACATACTTATGCACAAAACCAATAAAACCTGATGCACAATAAATATATATTACAAACACACAAAAATCCAAACCCGGTGACTCCATAGCCCCACGGCGCATAACTACAACGCATATCTTAACAAGAACACATACTTATGCACAAAACTAATAACACCTTATGCACAATAAATATATATTACAAACACACAAAAAGCCATACCTCGTAACTCCATAGCCCCAAAGCGCATAGAGAATGAAGCAAAAAATAAATAAACGACTGTAATCTTCGCCACAACACAAACAAAAAACACAGAAAAATACAGTGTATATAAAGATGTACACTGACGGACTACATGAATGCAAAATATCTTTATTTACCATATTTAATACACCTAAAAACAAGCAAATCAGCCGAAATAAAAAACAAAAAAAAAAAGGAAAAAAAGAAGCAAAGACAATAAAGCCCCTAAATCAAATATCCAGCACAAATGAAATAAATAAATCCAAAACTAAACAAAAAAAATGAACCATAGATCAAGCTAAAATCAAAGGTCAGATTCCGATATATATATATATATATATATATATATATATATATATATATATATATATATATATATATATATATTATGTACATATATGTATATATGTACATAATATATATATATATATATATATATATATATATATATATATATATATATATATGTACATAATATATTATGTACATAATATATATATATATACATAATATATACATAATATATATGTACATAATATATATATGTACATATATATATATATATATATATATATATATATATATATATATATATATATATATATATGTACATATATATATAACATATATATATATATATATATATTATGTATATATATATTATGTACATATATATATATACATATATATGTATATATGTACATATATATATATATATATATATATATATATATATAACTAAGAAGACATTAAATAAATGAAGAGAAAGACAAAATGATAGATTATGGTGTAATACTATAACGTATAGAAATGTGAGAATATTACATAGAAGATGATAGGATTATTCTCCGACTTTAAGTACGATGGTTGATTGGAAGCTTTTGATGTTTGGCGGTTAAGATCCGATCCGATATGATCATCGTTTATAACTTTCGGACCTGAACCTTCACTCGACGTTCAGGGTGGGCACGCCCGCAGATTACCTGGAGGGCGATGTGTGATCCGACCTCTCGAAGTTGGGCCGACCTGATAAACAATTTGCAGCATGGTCACATCTCCTCAGATATATTACGACACGTGTGTAAAACCCCTTTGGTCCCGGCCTGGCTCTGTGCATGCATGGACGGAGCCAGGGGGTGGGGGCAGGGGGTCAGCTACCCCCCCTCATCCAACCCCCACCCATATATATATATATATATATATATATATATATATATATATATATATATATATATATATATATATATATATATATATATATATATATATATATATATATATAGAATCGCACTCAGGTGCGAATGCTTCGCCCAGGCGCGAAATAGGAATGGATTCTGTCCGTCCACGTGTCCAGATCTAATGGATGAGAAACACTGATTTTTTTAAAAAACACGGTGACATTTTCGTAAATAATTGAACATCGAAATGCAAGTAAAATGTATTATAAGTGCATGTAAAATGTATTATCGGTGCAAGTAAAAATTTACACTGAGCATCAATACTTAGTTGCACCAATAGTTCTAAGTAGTTGCACCTATAGTTCTAAGTAGTTGCACAAATAATTATAAGTAGTTACACCTAGGTGTATGAATGTTTGCGAGTGGTTTTCAGGGGTATTACTACCCGCTGAACTCAGATCAATGAATGTTAACAAGGCAAAATTACATGCACTTATAGGTGAAAGTAGGTGCACCTATAGTTATAAGTAGTTGCACCTATAGTTATAAATAGTTGCACATATAGTTATAAGCACACCCAGGTGCATGAATGTTTGCGGAAAGTGAATGCTAACAAGGCAAAATTACATGCACTTATAGGTGAAAGTAGGTGCACTTGTAAGTGATTTTACTTGCACTTCGATGTTCAATTATTTACGAAAATGCCACCGCATTTTTTGTAAGTTATTAGATCTGGACATGTGTCGCGCGATGATTCGTTCGCATTTTCCTCCTGAGCACTTATTCGCACCTGAGTGCATCCCTATATATATATATATATATATATATATATATATATATATATATATATATATATATATATATATATATATATATATATATATATATATATATATATATATGGGAAAATTGTAAAAATGCCCATCTATAATATGCCAATTATCAATGTCACCCCTGAATTATGAGTGGTGTAAATGTTGCCCATCAATTATCAAAATGGTGCACATATAGCCCCTCCCGTAACGGACATGTGGTTCCCCACCACTGTCCATCGCTAGTACTTCGGATCGAGGGAGGGAAAAAACAACTAAATTACATATTTACTCCGACTTAACGGTGTCGTACACTAACGGGAAACCACATGTCCGTTACGGGAGGGGCTATATGTGCACCGTTTTAATAATTGAAGGGCAATATTTACACCACTCATAATTCAAGGGTGACATTGATAATTGACATATTATTGAGGGGCATTTTTTTACAATTTTCCCTATATATATATATATATATATATATATATATATATATATATATATCACCCCCGCTGCCACCGCCACTAGCACTACCAACACCACCGTCATCGCCACTACCGTCACCGCCACCACCATCATCACCACCACCACCGCCGGCGCCGTCATCGCTACCACCAGCACCACTACCACCACCGCCGCCGCCACTACAACCACCACCACATATTTTTATAAGGTTATTTATGTCTTTTAAAACATATATCATTTCTATTCCTTAAACCTACCGAACACTGTAATATAATTCATAAAGTCTATTCCTTCCGCGAACCAAACAATAGAATACAATTCCTATTTTATTCCTTGCCTATTCCATTCTTTATGGAATAATATTACTATTGCCTCAAAATTCATTATGTGAACCAAACTTGCTGTAAGTGTATTTTTTATCAAAATATTGTATAGCATAATGTATGAACCAAAGTAATGGAAAAAACGGAACATAAATGAAGGATTATAACATTCATTTAACACTAATGTATAACCTTCATTTAGCACAACATTTGACCTTATCTGCTGAGTCATTGAGTTACTGTGATTTACATCATTTCAAATGTTTTGTCGGGTCAAAACGTGGAGGCCTTGGAGTCGGGGATTCAACCTTGGCAAAAAGAGAGGTGGAAGATTAGAGATTAGAGATTAGAGATTACAGATTAGATAATCAGAAATTAGATGCGGTGAAACATTATTATTGTTGATTAAAATTATATAGTTCTTCCAAATTATATAGTTAAGCAACGCGTTTAGGAAGGATACGGTATGTGCTGAAAATGAAACTGGATAATGAACCGATAATTAATCATAGGGAAAATTGCACTTTTTCCCCCTGTGTTATATACCTATAGCATTTTTTCTCCCTAAATTATTGAAGTGACTGTTTTTTCCCCTGAAATGTTAAATGGACATATTTACCCTTAAACTAAATATTTAATTTATTTTTTTTCTCCAACAAATTATGACCATAATTTGGTTCAAACCAAACAAACACTATAGCAACCAAATCGAAATATTCCAGTTACAATTTAGAATTGAAATTCGATATTTAGAGTTTATTAAAATCGTGAACCGGAATGGACGGTTCATGTTTCGAACTGAAAAAATAAAATACATTTATTGTTGAATTTAGACTATTTTAAAATAAAAAATAAAATTTTAAAATAAAGACGGTTCAAAATCGCGAATCGGATCCGGAACCGCCGGTTCACGGTTCAAGATTCAATTTTTTTGATACATAATTTTAATAAATTGACATTTAAATATTGTATTCTAGATCTGAATTATAACCGAAAACTATTAATTCGATTGCTTTAGTATCCGGTTCAATTCAAACCGAACCGTGGTCATCCCTACGTGTACGCAATAATTTGTTGGAGTAGTAAAATAAATAAAATATTTACATTAAGGGTATAAATGTCAATTTAATATATCATGGGAAAAAACACCACTTTTAGAATAATTAAGGGGACTAATGTGCTTACCTAAATAATTGAGGGGGGAAAAGTGCTATAAGTATATAACTAAGGGATAAAAAGAGCCATTTTCCCTTAATCATAATCTAATGTGATTATCGGATAATTTAAAAAGAAAACTGCATATAAAACTTGCACGTTTAGTAGTTGGCATTAGATACACAGTTTATATATACGCATATAGTAATTGATTGCATAATAAACTCCATGTATAAATACGCGGCTTTCCAGCCCTAATCGAACCCGGCCGGCCCATCACTGTCAGAGCAGCTCTCATCATCATCATCGATCACTCCAATCCTCCATGGCTAATTCTCCACCGCCTGCTCCACCTCCTCCTCCGCTCGTAGCTTCCAAGAAGCCGATTCGGATCCGCTCAGTGTGGTCGTCAAATCTCGAGTCGGAATTCGCGTTGATTCGCCGCGTCCTCGACCGTTACCCGTTCGTATCGATGGACACGGAGTTTCCCGGCGTGGTTTTCCGCCATGACCTCCGGGACTGGAAGCCGGACGAGCATTACATCTATCTGAAGTCGAATGTTGACGCGCTGAAGCTTATCCAGGTGGGGATCACTCTCACTGATGCCGCCGGGAACCTGCCGGACCTGGGCTCCCACTTCCGCTTCATTTGGGAGTTCAACTTCTGTGACTTTGATGTGGTGCGCGATGATCACGCTCCGGGATCCATAGAGCTCCTCCGCCACCAGGGCATTGATTTCGACCGGACTCGGGCTTTTGGGGCGCATACCGCCCGCTTTGCGGAGCTGATGATGTCTTCCGGTCTGGTGTGCAATGAGGCCGTCACCTACATCACCTTCCACAGTGGCTATGACTTTGGATACCTGATCAAGGCCTTAACCGGCCGGAACCTGCCGGGGGAGCTCCGGCAATTCCTGGGATTGCTAGGGCTCTTCTTTGGGAAGAGGGTGTATGACGTGAAACATTTGATGAAGTTCTGCAAGAGCCTCTATGGTGGACTGGACCGAGTGGCCAGCTCGCTTGAGGTTAACAGGGCTGTCGGGAAGTGCCACCAGGCCGGGTCTGATAGTTTACTCACTTGGCACTCTTTTCAGAAGATCCGAAAGCTCTACTTTGACAACAATGAGGCGCTTACTGAGAAGTATGCAGGCGTACTCTATGGGTTAGAGGTCCTCTTTCCGCAGACTCTGTAGATGTTGAGTCTCCGGTTCAAATTTCCCTGATGATAATCTGTAAAACCATTTCCTTTGTATAAAAAGGATAAAAGGAACTAGTTTAATTATTCTTCTTTTGCCCTTGATTGGACTTTCATGTTTGTGAATAAAGAACAAACATGTAATGGTTACTAAACCTGCAAATTCCAACCAAATCAAGGACTCTAGAGGAAGGTGATCAAAACTATGACACAAAGTTGCACAAGTTTAAAATTACTCCAATGCCATAGTACTTGTTAAAATCTTGGGCCAGAACTTAAATACTGGAGGTAATTTCTAAGCCACAACTTAAATTTTCGAGGTAATTTCTAAGAACCAAATTTGATGATTAAGTTTACTAACTTCCAGCCAATACATTTCATATTCAACACACATTTCATCTTGTCTAATACTCATTCTAGATTTCCTTTATTTTAATATATTCAGAAGTAGCAAATCCTGCCGAACTTAGATCTTTCTTGATTTCCCTTATTTGTAGAAGTAGGATTCAGTACCTTCTAAATTTAGTTTATGCAATGTGAACTCTAACTCCAAGTATTTCCTGATTTAAAACCTGATTTTAAGTCTTTCTTGATTTTCTTTATTTTAAAACCTGTTGAACCTAGTTTCAATTTAGTTTATTCATTTAAAACCTGTTGAAATAGTTCCTTCAATTAAAATTTAAAAACCACAATTTTGACATCTAACGAATAAATTAATGCTGAGTTCTAAGAGAGGGATGAGTTCATTGTACAGTTTCTACTTTATGACACTTTAAAAGAATATATGTCTTTGAAGGGGCTTTTACTTTTTTTTTTTTTTTGCTTTATGTAATGAGAAGAGATGCTATGTGAGCCTTCTATTTTAGAAGTTTGTTGATTTCTCAAAGCAGCACTCAACTCTGTGGGATTAATGGTGGTTTATTCCAAGGACTCTAGGGGCTAACAAAACATAAGATAATAAGTATGCCTGGCTTGTAATAACATGCTTAAAATCATCTTATTTACGAGGCAGTTGGGAATATATTCAGAGGATGCTGGTAAATTGAATAAGTAGGTGGTTTAGATGTCATGGATGACTTAGAATTCCGTATTATTGAGGTGGCCACTAGGAAAGTTCTTTGGAGTTGAAACTTGAAACTTTATCTTTCTGTTAAGATAAGACTTGGATGGATCACTGATTCACTATTGTATATTTTAATCTCAAGTGGTTAATTGGGGTGGGTTGGACATAGTTGATGAAAGAGTTGGGATCACTAAGGCCTCTTGTAGTAAATTTTTAAGCTGTATTTACAAATTTTATTTTTAAAGAATTTTTAGGTGATTATATTCAGTTATGTACACAAATAGCATTAAAAGCCTGTGGATATATTTGGTGGTGGAACCTGAAGTGTTGAGAAGGTTTTGAATAAATGTAGCCACTAGATAATATTTGGAGTTTGCATGTGAGTCACTGGTATGGATGGAATTTCTTTGGGTTGAAAGTTGAAACATTACTGAGATAAAAGAAAGGAAAATAGAACTTCTTGTGGGGAATATCTTATCTTTATTTTTATGGAGGGACTTTAAATAGATTGGCTATGATCAGTTTTGCTCTTGGACATATTTTTTCCTTTTCTCATCTTTGAAATAATAGTTCTCACTGTATACTCTTTATGAAAGAAATGACAACTTGTTGATCTTGTAGATAATTATGTTTATCATCGTGCATGCATGAATGGCACCAATCCTTAAATCTAGTTTAAAGAAACTGATATGCATATTGGCTGCTAAGCAGTGCAATTTGGATTTATTTTATTTTTTATTAGTGGACATACACATGGTTTAAAGTATGGACTTTAGGTTAAGATTTCGGAAAATTTCATGCAGCCTTAACCAGTAAAGTTCTTTTTTGCAAGGTGTTTCCCTCACCATTACTGTGCTTCAATGTTAGAGTTCCATGCAGCCTGAGCCACAAGTGATATGGTTGCTAAAGGAAGTGAAATCAACAAGGTGCAGGGAATTGACCAAACTGAAGTCTTGTTTATATTTAAAAAGGTATGTTAAATAGCTTATTTGTTCATTATGATAAGGAGTCTACTTTATTCAAGCAATACAGTTCCTCACTTGTAAATGCTACAGAAATATCTAATTTATCTATTATTTATCTTTGCCACAGTTTAAAATTGGTGTATGATCCCTTTAGATTAGGGATATACATATTTGTTGCTTAGAGACTATCATTCTAATACAATCTGTTTCTTGATGCGGATACCAGTGCGCATGCCAAAAAAAAGTTGAATTAGTTGTTCAGGAGTATAAATTTAATTTCATAATTAAGTATGAGTTTTAAATCTTTATTAAAATACTTTTGGATTTAAATCCCATGGGACATTGGGTTGTCCATCTCAACGCCATGTCATAAAATAAAATTTCACATAGACTCTATGTCAGCTTTTACTGGTTTAGTCAATAGGTTACCTACTAAAAGTGCGAATTTCACTTTCTTTTGGCAAGTTTGGGTGCTTATTTGAGGCCTTTTTTAGTTCATAGGCTCAATTGCATAATCTTGTATAGTTTGAGGGCTTATTTGACTCTTTTCCCTTAGCTTTTTGAGCAAGTACTATTGTACCTGAACTTCTAATGGTTAATCAATTATGGAATCTTCCTTTATTTGTTGAAGTTTTGTAATCTAGCTCATGAAGGACACTAAGAATTGAAGACTATGTTGACCTGTCAAATTGTCAATCCATTCTGAAAAAATTAGGGACCTGCATCATGCTTATGGAAATTTTGAGAAAAATCCAAATTTAACTCTCAAGTATGTATAATGTGGCAGTCACACTGTTCCTTAAATATATCAGAAGATACATTTCCAATCTTTTTCATTTCTGACACTGTTTGCTGGCAATATAGCAAAAAAGACAGCTGGGTTTATCCCATCCTTTCTTTCCCCCGTTATTGGAGTGGAAGAAAGCAGTACTGTTAAATTAGGCACCCACGTTATTCATTTCAGTTATTTGTTGCATTTAGATATAAAGGGCTTATGAATTTTCCTTCCGCTCTTTCTGCCCTCCATTTGTTTTTCCAACCTAAATGACTTACTGAATTGTGTTTTAGCAGTGTGTGCTAATTCTGTGCACCAAAAACTGAGCACCTTAAGTAGTTTTCCAACTTTCTTGGAAAAATGTTTTCTATTTTCCGTTTTTCTGGAAAAATTTCCAACTAATGAAGACTTCCTTAGTATTTGTACTGTATAGTTGAGATACACACTGATACGCATCCAAAAGGATGGATGGTTTACTCACGCAGAAAAAGGAAGGATGCAAATCAGGCAAATCAGGATATACATGGGAAGGCTTAACTCAAGGGTTTTGACAAATAAAGAGGGGCATAATCATCTCAACAATCATCTCAGCAATCATCTCCTTTCTATAATTATTTATTTCCTAGTACTATAAATCAGAATCTCTAGAAGAGAGTAGGGCATCGGATTCTTTACCTTAGTCTTTGAAGCTCTAAGTAGCTGGGCAAGAGCCTAATACTCTTGTGGGGAAGGTCTTATGACTTCCTGTTCCTTTTTTTAAGTTTTCAGTCAATAAAACATACCTCTTTGTTCTTATCTCTAACAAATTGGTCCGACCTGCCGTTGAATGGCGAACACACATGATTCCCGCATAGAGACGTTAGAGAAGAACCAAGATGCAATCCGTACTGAATTGACTGCATTGACAGATCGATTTGCAGCCGTAGAAGCTTCTGTGGCTAGGATGTCCGACCTCCTCGCTCTCTCCCTCCAAAGCAAAGGGCAGGGCGATGCCAGTGCGTCATCGGTAGCAGTCCCAACTATTGATTCCAACCCCTCGTCAGAACGATTGGCTCCTCCCGACAACACCACACTTCCCACGGGAAGATTGGAACTTCCTACATTTGATGGTGGCGACCCGATAGGATGGTTGCCCAGAGTGGAGCAATATTTCGCCATACATCACACCCGGGAAGATCTGAAGGTTCCGACAACCTTTATCAATATGCAAGGACCGGCTCTACATTGGCTCCGGTGGATGAAGCGAACGCAACAATTCGTAGCTGAATGCCTAGTGTGTCAAAAGAATAAGTATGACACCATGGCACCAGAGGTTTACTCCAACCTCTGGACAGAATTTTTTGACAAATGGGGCACCACGTTGCGTTTGAGCACTGCATACCGCCCTCAAACGGACGGCCAGTCAGAAGTCCTCAATCGATGCCTGGAGCAGTATTTGCGGTGTATGACTTCTGAACAACCAAAGCAATGGGGACGCTTCCTCCATTGGGCTGAATACTGTAGCGTATCTGACTTCAACGGTCAGTTTCCTCACTCCAACCTTGGGGACAAGGTTGTTTCTTTGGTGGGTGGCAATGATACGCATCCAAAAGGATGGATGGTTTACTCACGCAGAAAAAGGAAGGATGCAAATCAGGCAAATCAGGATATACATGGGAAGGCTTAACTCAAGGGTTTTGACAAATAAAGAGGGGCATAATCATCTCAACAATCATCTCAGCAATCATCTCCTTTCTATAATTATTTATTTCCTAGTACTATAAATCAGAATCTCTAGAAGAGAGTAGGGCATCGGATTCTTTACCTTAGTCTTTGAAGCTCTAAGTAGCTGGGCAAGAGCCTAATACTCTTGTGGGGAAGGTCTTATGACTTCCTGTTCCTTTTTTTAAGTTTTCAGTCAATAAAACATACCTCTTTGTTCTTATCTCTAACACACACACATATACATACATGTTCCTTTTTATATTTAACATTTTCTTCATTAGTATTATAGATAATAGATAGATAGATACTTGAGGAATGCTGGGGTTCTATTTTGTGACCTTTAGCACATAAGTGGATTGAAGTAGTCAACATCAACATTCATAGATCTTGCTTATTTAAAATTTATAAAATGTTTTCTGCACTCTTTATTAGTTATCATTTCCATATATACTTGCAAATATAACTTTGGATTATATGATTCATATCAAATGTAGAGGGAGCAACTTATTTGATTTTGCTCTTCAATGATAATTATCATGAGGTTGAAATTTACTGTTTAGGCTTCTTTGGTTTGGGGATTGAAATTGCCAGGGATAAAGTTGGTTGGTTGTCCTCCTATTCTGTCCTAATCAGATTGTAGATACTCTTTTCCATCCAAAAATTCTACTCAGGACTTCCCCTAACATTTTAATCTAACTCTCTGCATATAAGTTTCTCCCAGTTTCCTCCCAAAAGTAGCCCATGCCTTCACTCATTGACCTTGCTTGTCACTCTCAACTGTTTTCTGCACTGATTTGAGTTGTCATTGGCTTTTACTTGGAAACATAACTTATAATGGAGATGACAAAAGGCACACTAGAATAACTTATTTGATATTTGCATTTTTATGATGTCTAGAGGTTATTTAGGGCATGTATGCTTGGGGGAATTTGATTGAATGTTTAATCGAGTTTCCCTTCCTTTTTCCCCTAACCAAAACTGTGGATATCTTTATATAAGAGTTAATTCCATTTTTGGTCATAGATTTATAGGTGTCATTCCACTTTTAGTTTTTTTTTTTTTTTTTTTCGAGCATCCCTATTGGTATTATTGTGGCATGACTATTTTTGGTCCTCCGTCAACAAACCTGCTTAAATGACCTTAAATACAAGGGCATTTCGGTCTTTTTATACCAATTCGGTTGACCTGCTATATTTTTATTTTTATTTTTGAAAAAAATCCCTAATTCACTGCTAGAGCCCCCTGTTTCTTCAATTGCAATCCACGCCTCCACAGCAGTTGAATGACACATGTAAATCTAAGGGTAAAAAAGAAATTAACACTTAGAATTGAATAGACTGAAATGCCCTCATATTTAACACCATTTAAATAGATTTGTTGACGGAGGACCAAAAATGGTCATGCCACAATAATACTCTAGGACCAACAAGGGATATTCTAAAAATAAAGGACTAAAAGTGGAATGTCACCTATAAATCTAGAACAAAAAATGGAATTAACTCTTTGTATAATTATACTCTTATTTTCCTTTTGCAAAAGAAGGGATGTCATGTCAAGGTGGTGAATCTAAAATGGGATTTCCACTCCCCAACCAAACAATTGATTTTGGGTTTGAGAGCATATTATGCATAATGGTTGCGAGATGCATCAATAAAAGATTTGCCTGATGCAGAAGATTCATTAGGCCCCTGATAATTTGTTCTAGGAAAGAGAGGCTTTTGTTGCTGCATGACTAGAAGTACGGCATTTAAAGGTATAAACAAAATGTGTTTTGTGTATATTCAGTGACTTGCTATAAACAAATATTGAAGTAGTCAGTATCTTCTAAATATTTAACAGAATAAAAATAAAAGCTTTATAGGTTGGTATTAATTTTATGAGCTTGCAGGGTATTTGAAATTTTTTGTCTGTTCAGTATTCTTAACAGAGTACTAGGTGGTCTAGCTTCCAGAGGTAGTTCTGTATCTTTCTTGGTCAAACTACAATCTTTAGCTTGGTCAAACTGCGATCTTAGCATACACTAGTGAACTAATTCCAGTTTAAATCCCAACTGGAGTGACCTGAATCAGTTGTGTACTAAAAGGGGAATTGCACTATAGGTAACCCAGGTAGGAGACGAGAAAACCTGAATCAGTTATATTCAAATTAGTTGAATCTGCTGGTTACTATTAAAAACATGTTACAGGTGGCACATAGTACTATTTCACCTTAGAAATAGTATTACGGTTTCAATTGTGCATTTTGTATTATGGTTTCAAGCTAAACGACGGTTTCAGTATTTGTGTTGTCAGAATTGTCTATCCTGCAGATGTGGCTCGTTTTCAGGATGTTTGATATTCTTATAGAATGGTGCTTTCATTCCTATATATCTTCACAGTATCCTTTCATCTTGCCAGTGTTCAATACCGAAAATTTTCTCATCTGCCTTGTACAGTCACGCAGAATCTAGCGTAAGTTTTCTCTGGGCTATGCTATGCAACTCAAAATGAATTGTGAAACCGAACCGTTTCAAGTCATTTATGTTCTGAAGCTGTCTTGATGAATGCAGGATTTGAAATTTGAACACAGGAAGTGCAGAACCACATACTACTGGGGGTTTATATATATACATATATATGTCCACTGTCCAGAAGGACCACCCCCAACCCCACCGTGTCAGCTGTATTTAATTTTGAAAATACTGTCTACTCCAATTTTTTACTCCCAACTTTTACTCACACACAAAATCTACTTGTATTGGGACACACATGAAAAAAGTAGTTTATCAATGCCTGCCACATCAGGGAATAAAATTTAGGGAGAGATTTGGGAGTACATGTAGTAAAACTTATTTAATTTGGTTCTTTGTTGGACATGTACTCTTAAATTTTACTCCCTCAATTTTATTCCTTGTTGTGGTGGGCTCTGATGAACTATTTTTTTCATGTGGGTCCCAATATAAGTGTTTACATCAAGATTTTGTGTGTGAGAGTAAAAGTTGTGGGTAGAAAATGGGAGTACACCATGTAGACAACAATTTTAGTATGTATCATCAAAGCCCTACTTTACAACAGCACTCAATCCATTTGTAATTTTGTGTATACACGTGCATGTATAAAATCTAGAATTCAATGAAGATTTTTTTGAGTTTGAATTTCTTGTGCTGGTACCCTCTTCAATTTACCCACTCACAATAAATGTGTTAGTTGTGAAATAGTAATGATTTGTCTTCTTTTTATTTATTTTTATTTTTTTTGGTTTTATTATTGTTATTGTTTTTGCTTTTATGGTTGGTCTTGTATGAGACTCTCACGTGAGATCAATTGTTATATCATTGTTCACAGTTAACACACAATTTTTGTACTTGTAAACAAATTGAAGGCACATAACATGATAATTACAGATACATAACATGATATACAAATTGTTAATTGTAGGTACATATATGTTATTTGTAGACACATAAAATGTACATAATTTAAAGGTAATTTTTGGATTAGGGTCCACACTGCAAAGTAAACTCTGGTCCATGGTATAATTTGCCACTTATTTTAAGGAACAAAGAATATTTTTTTTAGTAAAAAATGTCATATTTGTTGACGTATAAAAAGTATTACTCCCTCTGTCTCATTTTATCTGTCTTACTTACTATTCATTGGTCAAGAACTCTTTATTCTTTGTTTATTTTCTTGACTATTTTTTACTTATTTTTAAATTTAATTTTTTGTGTTTAATAGTACTTTTAGTGTATTTTCTAAATATATAAATTTTGTATACTAATACTAAACTTAATATTATGAAAACCGAACGAGACACATAGAAAGAGATGGAGGGAGTATAATTTAACTAAACAAAAGTATATATTTGAGATTTATTTCATCTCGGTCTTACAAATATAATAAATAAATTCACAAATACGGAGTATATAAATAAACTCAAAGTTTAGGGGTCAAGTAACTTCTAACATACCTTTTTTTAATCTCTATTTGTGCAACTTATTAAATCAAAATACAATATTTTAGTCATTCAATAAATAAAGTGAATAAGAGTCGTATTCGCAATTGATTTTTAGTATTGATATGTTTCATTTTAAAATTTTCATTATAATAAACATGTCGAGAACATTTTGCTATTTTGAATTAAAAATATATATATATATATATATATATATATATATATATATATATATATATATATATATATATATATATATATATATATATATATTAAATCAACGATTAAAAATGAAATGAATCTTGAGAACTAAGAATAACAAATGTTGTTATAGTTGAGGAACTAAAATAAAAATAATGCTCCAAAAAAAAAAACTAAAATAAAAATAGTGTTGTGGAAAAAGTTTGGTATGCTCAACCTTGTCCTTTACTTGTAATTGATAAAACAAGACAGGAAGAAAAAAAAATATTAAATTTCCTGACTGGCAAAGTTCACATTTTAGTAAGGTAGTTACATGCCCAAATGTAGTAGTGAGGTGCGGGAAAAAATTATTAAATTATTTTGAAAAAAATTAGATTTTTGTGAGTTGCCCAACTGGTCATATAGAGGTGAAGTTGGAAAGAATGACCAGGGATCGAGTCTTTCTTTGTGCGCAGTAAGAGTTGGGGTTCAACTTGTTTTTGTCTTGTGGTCTGGGTCTTTCTCTGTCCGTTGAACGGTCCAAGTCCACTCGGTTCTCTCCAAGAGACACAGAAGTTGGCCCAAAGGGAATCATCATTCATCACTTGTGGGATTCAAACCCGCGTTATCCCAAAATTCTCCCCCACAAAGAGAGTTCATTTGCCACTTGAGCTACCCTGTTGAGTTACAAACTTAGTCTATTGGTTATATGCATGACTATTTTAATCCTAAATTATACATAAAGTGACAATTTTAATCTCTGAAGGATCAAATCAACCACTTTATTAAGTGACATATTGGTGACAAAAATAGTTCTGAAGGATTAAAATCATCACTTCATGAATAACTTAAGAGTTAAAAGATAATCGTAACAAAATATAAGTTAAAAACTAAACATGTATAACTGAAGTATAAAAATGCAATTTTGAAGCATTTTTGTTAAAAGTGGTTGCGAAGACAATAACCCACTGACAACAACGACAAGTCATTAATGGCCCGTTTGGTTCACGGAATAGGCCGGGAATGACATAGCATTTCCAGTAATAGGCCTATTCCTTTGTTTGGTAACCATTTCTATTACCAGGAATAATATTCTTGGTAATAGCCTATTACC